GGACAATCGGGGAGGGTACGAGTGCAGGCTGACAGAGCCTCTGGACCTGGCGCCTCGCCTGTGCCTTCAATGTCAAGTACAGGAAAGCGGCCAGGAAGACGATGTTAAGGGAAGGGGGGGAGGGGGACTCACCAGGAAATGGTGAGGGGAGGGGAGGCCTTCCAAACAGGAGAGGCAGGAGACACCCAGGCAGGTGTGGAGGTGGCACCCCGTGCCATGGTCTCTAGTTAAACCAGCTGCCGAGGGAAGGCCCACGGCCGGCCTGCGGGGGCAGAAGGAATGGAGCTGGAGGAGTCCTCCACCAGGTGTGAGTGGCCCCGAAAATGGCGCTGAGAAGCGTTAGGCAGAAGAGTCTCGCTCAGGGGTTGGAACAGGGTGTGATCAGATCAGATCTCTGTTGGAGAAAGATGGCTCTGACAGCGGGGGCCGGGTGGATGGGGTTTGGAGGTCCATGCAATCCCACCTGCTGCTCTGCCTGCCCACCACATCTGCTCTGAGCACCCCTAGTCACGCTTCCCTGCGCACACCAGGCAGTCTGACCTTCTCTCCTGGGGGAACTCACCTGCCGGTCTCAGAAAGAAAATCACAAAAATGGTGTCGCTCCCTCCCCAAACGATCATTTTAAAAAAATATATTTCATTGATTTTTTACAGAGAGGAAGGGAGAAGGATAGAGAGTTAGAAACTTCGATGAGAGAGAAACATTGATCAGTTTTCTCCTGCACACCCCTACTGGGGATGTGCCCACAACCAAAGTACATGCCCTTGACTGGAATCGAACCTACGACCCTTTGTCCCCAGGCCAACGCTCTATTCTATTCACTGAGCCAAACCAGTTAGGGCCCAAACGATCCTTTCTTGACTGCCGCCTAGGCCCGCACTTCCCTATCCATCCGCAGTGATTTTGTTTCCAAATTCCAAACTCTGTGGGCCAATCATTTTGTAAAGTACAAACTCATGTACCTCGATATCACAGAAACATCAAACTGCTATTTGAGTTTCCAAATGCTTTCTCTTATTTGGGGTATTTATCTTGTCAGGAGCTGACTTAAAAAACAAAACAAACCGGTTTGTGGACTTCCAGTTTCTGGTCTGACAGGTAAGGAGCTGGGAAGTCAGTCCCCGCTGCCCCACCCGAGCAGCTGGTAGAAAGGTGAGCAAACTGAAAAACCGACAAATCGGTTTAGATCAGGAAGAGGCGGCCACAGGGCAAACGGCCGTCTCCCAGGTGGAGAGCCCGACAGGTGAGGAGCGAGAAGCACAGGCAGCCACTCAGGGCCCAGCGCCCAGAGGAGAACACAGGCTGTGACTGAGGAATTGCTAGTAGCTCTGTGTGGACACCTCGGAGAGTGAAATACTCCAGAGGATGCAGTCCTAGGGGGACCCCACACTCTGAGTTTCCCCCCCAAGGAGTTCAGCCAGCTTCTCGCAGTGAAGAGCAGAGAAAAACTCCCCTGAGCATCAGGTAGGAGGAGAGGAAAAGGGGCCAGAGCATTCTGCCCTTCTCTGCAAGAGGCACCCTCAGGAGAAACCATTTGAACAGCATCTACCCTGCGGGGTTTTATCGAACCCGTGACCTGGGAGAGAGAAGCGTCCCCTCCTAGCTGGCCCTAGCCTTCCACAGAGAGAAGGAACACAGACACCTCCAGCGCTCCTCCCGCCCCCCTCCGCCAGCCGGCCGTCCCACTGGAGCGGGGCGGCGGTGACAGAGAAGCACTTCTGAAGTTCAGGCAAGAGGCCCAGGCTCACCAGAAGTCAGAGACCCAATCCAAAGGCTAGCGCATGCTTCCCACCCACCATGCCTTATCACCACATAACTAAAGGCCTGCTTACCACAGTTCCTTTCGCACGGTACATCATTATCTGGCTACCAAGGGAAAACTTGAAGACACATGAAGAGGCAAAAAACAGAGTCTGAAGAGAGAGCAAGATTCAGAACCAGACTCAGATATGACAGGGATGTTGGAATTCTCAGACCAGAAATTTAAAACACATATGATTCCAGGATAAGAACTCTAACAGATAAAGTAGATAGCATGCAGTAACAGATGGGCAATGTAAGTGGAGAGAGAGACAGAGAGAGAGAGAAATTCTAAGAAAAAATAAACAAAGAAATGCTAGAGATCAAAAACACTGTGACAGAAATTAAGGATGCCTTTGATGGGCTTATTAGTAAACTAGACACTGGCTCAGCAAATAATCTCTGAGCTTGAAATAATCTCAGTAGAAACCTCTGACACAAGAAGGATTAAAAAAAAGATGTGGGGGGTGGAGAGGAGAAGACCAGAATATCTAAGAACTGTGGAATAAGTACAAAAATTTCACTTATGCATAATGAGAACACCAGAAGTAGAAAAAAGAAACTAGAAAAAATATTTGAAACAAGAAGAACAAAGAATTTCCTCAAATTAATGTCAGATACCGCCGAAACCGGTTTGGCTCAGTGGTAGAGCATCGGTCTGCAGACTGAAAGGTCCCTGGTTCGATTCTGGTCAAGGGCATGTACATTGGTTGCGGGCATATCTCCGGTAGGGGGTGTGCAAGAGGCAGCTGGTCGATGTTTCTCTCTCATCGACATTTCTAGCTCTCTATCTCTTTCCCTTCCTCCTCTCTGTAAAATATCAATAAAATATACTTTTTTTAAAAAATTAATGTCAGATACAGAACCACAGGTCCAGGAAACTGAGAACAGTAAGAAGGGGAAAAAAAACAAAAACACAAAAACTAACGTAGGCATATGATATTTAAATTGTAGGACAGCAGAGATGTTTAAAAATCCTGAAAGAAACCAGAGGAATCAAGATAAAAATTACATCTGACTTCTTAGAATCATGCAAGCAGAATGGAATGAAATACTTGAGTTGAAAGAGAAAAACTTACCAATCTAGAATTCTGTACCCTAACATTTTACCCTTTAAAAATTCAGGAGAAATAAAAACTTTCTTAGAAAAACAAAAATTGAATTTGTTGATAGACCTGTCTTGCAAGAAATGTTAAAAGTTCTTTAGATAAAATAAAAATTATATAATTCAGAAACTCATTATCTACATATAGAAAGCATGAGCATTTATTTCATAAAGAAATAAATGAAGGCTTGTGTGATAAACCCACTCACAGTGGGGGATTCTAACACCTCTCTAAACTGATAAAAAGAAACAAAGAAATAAGTAATCATCTGTATTGAATATCTGAACAACAAAGTCAATATCATCCAACAATCTATCATGCTTCTGGGTATATTACCCAAATGTGTTGAAAACTTTTGCCCATAAAAAAAAACACCTGTTTATAGCAGCTTTATTGATAACTAGAGGCCTGATGCACAAAATTCGTGCACGGGGCTTGCTCAGCCCTGGCAGCCTTGGCGGCTTGCCTTGGCCCTCACAGCCGTGGCTTTGTCTGGAAGGTCATCCAGATGGACATCTGGAAGGTCGTTCGGCTGTCTTATCTAATCAGCATATTACGCTTTTATTATTATTATAGGTTGCCGAGACATGGAAGCAACCAAGATTTGGATCATGAGGTGAACAGATAGATTGTGGTGCATCCAAACCATGGGATGGTATTCCGCCTTAAAAAAGTAATAGACCACATGTGTCAAACACAAGGCCCGTGGGCCAAATCCGTCCCACCAGGCCTTGCAATGTGGCCCGCACCGCGCTGTCATCACTGCACTCCGCTGCGTTTCCATCACAATGACAGTTTATGACTGTTCAGTAAACCATTCGGCCCGCGATTTAGGCTGGATTTTAGATTTTGGCCCCTTCTCTGATTGAGTTCGACACCCCTAAAATATCAATAGACTATCGAGCCATGATGAGACCTGGAGGAACTTTAAATGCATATTACTAAGTGAACGGCTCTAATCTGAACAAGGTACCATCTGTGTGATTCCGGTTATATGGCATTCTAGAAATGGCACAACAATGGAGAAAGAAAAAAGTACCACTGGTTGCCAACGGTTTGTGGGGAAGATGACTGGGCAGAAAATATAGGATTTTTAAAGCAGAACTGTTCTTTATACTGTAATGCTGGATACATGTCATTATACATTTGTCCAAACTCAACCCAGCACTGCTTCAAAAATAAAGACTGTTTTTTAAAAGTCTGTGGCCTGTCCCAGTGCATGGACCACATTTATTGCTGCACTGTGGACTGTGGCCTTTTAGGTACCAAGACTTGGTTTCCTCCACCTTGTATACCCAAGTATCTCTTGCGAGCAGGCCAGGGTGTGTGATTTGGGGGGTTTTAGAAGGCAGAACTAACCCAGACGGTGAGAAGCTCTGAGAGTAACACGGACCCAATTTGGTAACTAGGGCAACAGTGTTGCCATGCGCCAAGACCAATGGTGTGGAGGGCAAAAGAAAGAAGGGGGCGTAGAGCAGATAAAGGAGGGTGATCAGTAGGTATGCATACATGGTAATGAGTAAATGGAACTGTGGGTTACAATTCAGTTCTGAGATTAACACACATTAATTTGCTCCTTATACCCCCATATTCAGTGCCAACACGTTTCTATGACATGGAGAGATGACAGTAGACATTTACACCAAGTGGCCAGATGATGATGATGATCTCTGAACGCATAATAATCTGGCCACTCAGTGTATATCCTATACAATAAAAGGCTAATATGCAAATTGTCCCCTTGACCAAGAGTTCGACCAGCAGGCAGGCCAGCCAACAGCCCATGTCACTTCCCCCTGGCCAGGCTGGCCGGACCCCACCCATGCACGAATTCATGCACCGGGCCTCTAATATATACATATATATATATATATATATATATATATATATATACACACACACACACACACACACACACACACACACACACACACTGAGTGGCCAGATTATTATGCATTCAGAGATCATAATAATCTGGCCACTCTGTATTTCTGCGTAAAATATTAGAATAAAATATTAGAATAAAACATGACTAAGAACAGAGTTGTGATACAAGTATCTGCAAATTGAATTTCCAGACTTGGGGACACGCACCTTCAAGTTGGCAGCAGGTGCTTTGGAGTCAAAAGATCCTCGTTATCACGTATTAGCAAGTCATTTCATCTTCCTGGGACTCAGGGTCTTCCTGCGGAAAAGCAAGTCTTCCCCAGCTTCCACAGCCCGCAGGCGGACTCGGCCTGCTATTTTTATGCGTTGAGTCTAAAAGGTATTTTGAATAGGAAGGCTCCTGGAAAAAAATAATAAAATAGACTACTAATGTGTCTGCCACTGACACTGTAGTGTATTCATCCAGAAAGTTTAAAGATGACAAGTGGGTTAAGAAAATCTAGGAGTAAGTTGTTCTAAGGACATTTTGTGGAGAAAATATATATAAACAATTATAGACAAAATTATAAAGTGCCTGGCATCTGAAAAGAATATACAGAGTACAGCAATCACGGCAGAGTCAGGAAGTCTAGTGGTAACCAACCTATGATTTGCAATATTTGCAAAAATTTTTTTTTTAACTGTCTAAAATTGCACTGTTTTCTTTTTTCTTTCTTTTTTTTTAACTGCTAGATAAACAGTACTACAAGCTGATTCCACAGTGCTAGGCCATTATATTTACTCAGAGCTTCTAAGCTGCCAACCTAACGTAGCTCTTTCACAAAACACAATTCACTTAGCCTCCACAGTGGCAATGCCATAGAGTTGGAGATACTGGGATCAATATTATGACATAAAAAATCCTGAGTTATCTTGATTATGCTGTCTTTATTACCAGTGTGATCGCTCTAAGATTCATCTACATTTAAAGAAACTATAATGGATCCTGTCTCTCTCTTTTTCCAAATTCCCAAGCAAAAGGGGCCTCTATCATATTATAGCTTCCTATTTTAGCCACCTAAAATTAGATGCATATTTAAAAAAGGCTCTTAGCTCTCTTGCTACCTTAAGAAGTTTAAAAAAAATACTTGTTCTTTCTTAGGATGCTCAAAATAGTTTTCAGAAAGGCCAGCAGGTCTATCTCTGATCTTACAAATGTATGCTTTGTGCAACTTTTAGTCTCTCTGTCATCCTGCAGTCTTAACTTTGGAGTTCTTCAAACAAACTCCAAGTCCTAATGTTATTTTAAGCTGACAATAAACTAAAATTTTATAAAGTATTATACTCATACAGATTATGCATTTAAGATACTAGAGAAGTACAAAATACACTTGCTATTAAATGTAAAAAGAGGAAAATAATATTTTGTTTCACACGTACGAACAGATCGAGCCTCATAACCTAAAGGCCAAGCTCCACTTTTAGGAGAAAGAGCACCCATTGGTTTTTTTCACTCAAACCTATATACCTAAATTCAAATATTACTCTTCCAAAAAAAAAGAAAAAGCTTGCCAAAAAACAATCAGCCTCATTTCTGGAGAGTTCTCTAGCATATCGGAACTGTTAAGTATGCCCTAATCAGTGACCTACCCCTTTGATGTCTCAGGAATTCCTGGCCAGACCAGATTCCACCTCTAACAAGCACCCACCTCGAGCTCACGTCCTTCTTCTACCTCAAGTCCTCCGTATCCTCCATGTCACATACCAGCATACGCTCTTCATGGGAAACTGGGAGAAGGGGACAAGGGGTCTCTGTGTTATTTAATACAGCTGCATGTGAAATCTATAATTAGCTCACACTATAGCGTTTAATTAAAAATAAAAATCTATACTAATAAAAGAGAAATATGCAAATTGCTGTATCTCCGTGATGCCTCCACAAGCCAATCAGGAGTAGGTATGCAAATTAATTTCAAAAGGCAAGCCTGCCACTTTCTGAGAGGCCTGATTCAGCAGGAGCAGCTCCCCTGTCTCCCCTGAATTCTGAAGGTTCTCCATTTCTATAAAGCACAACCGTGTTGGTCTCCATCTCAGTTTCTTTTTCCTCTCCCCGTCCCCACTGCCTGAGCAAAGACCTCTGAGGACTGAGCTAAGAGGACAGTGGGGGGGGGGGGGGGGGGGGGACTGCTCCTTTACCCGCTTGGAAGGGCTCAGTAATCGGGGGCTTCAATAGCTGCAAAAGGATAAATGATTGCCGGCATAGAGAGAGTCCTTGTGTCTATTCTATCTCTTAACAGGTCGTTCTTAAGAGTGAGGATTTATTATTATTATTATTTTATGTCATTTATGTCACTGTGGTCCTTACCATAATGAGCTAAAGATGAAATAATATTTGGAAGCACTGAAAGCTGGGGGTCCCCTGAGCCCAGTGCCTCACTCAAACAAGTTAAAGATTTATAATATTGTCTTGTATTAGAAGGTTCACTGTGACCAGTTAACCACAGCCGAGGTTTCTTTTTTAAAAAAGAGAGCTGCCTCTTCCAGGAAGAGTTCTGAAGACAATCTATACGGTGAGAAATCAGAGTAAAATTGTCCTTGCATATCCTTTCAGTGGGTCTCCCCAAAATAGAGCACACATGATTTTGCACCCAGCTCACTATGTCTCCGTAGGTATAATGTAACAGTGTACTTTCCACCCGGATTTGGAACAGAGCTGCTCCTTCCATTAAAACTCCTGTAAAGCAGTTGTATTTTTAGGGGCTGTGCACTAGGAAGAAAATGATTTATTTCTTTTTCCTACTAAGTGCATACAGTGGAGTCAAGTGAGCATTAAATGCAACAGCACTGAACACAATCTTTATTAATTAAAAATAATTAATTCTACAAATAAAAAACTGCAGGAAGGATGACAGCGGCAAAAGCTGTCCATCAATTCAGAGGCTATTAGAACACATCCTTGAATGTCAAGTCTTTATTAACACTGGGGGAATTTCCCCCAAGTTTCTCCAGGTGTCTCATCATCTTTGCAACATCTTTTCTATAGTATATGTCTACTTTTATTTCCCTTACGCAGGAATTATTTACCTCCAAGAAAAAAAATAAGGGTTAAAGAAGTACTTTTATCAAAAATCAGGAAAAACATCTATGTTGTGAAAAACTGTTTTGTATATATCTGGCTACAAGTTATTTATGATAGTCTGCATGTTTTATTATAAAATCCTAGACAAATCCAGTTACAGCAAATCCAGTTACTGCAAAAATGTGGATGCCCTCCACCCTCCCTTCCACACACAAGACATCAATTCTAGTCTCAAAAAAAAACACTGTGCAATTATATGAACCACAATCGCACTCCCGGGCATTCATCCCAGAAAAATGAAAACTTATGTTCACACACACACAAAAAAAAACCTACACACAAATGTTTATAGCGGTTTTATTTATCATAGTTAAAAACTGGGAACAACCCTGTCCCGACTGGTGAGTGGTTAAACCAACCCTGGGCCGGCCATGCCATGGGATACTGCCCAAACACAAAAGACAAACGACTGATATCTGTGAGCGGGATCTTGAGAAAGGCCAATCGCAGAAGATTACAGACTATGTGATGCCATTTATGTGATATTCTGGAAAAGACAGAATTATAGAACTGGAGCACAGACTAGCTGTAGCTAGGGTGAGGCAGAGGGGTGGAAAGGGAGTGAGTCTGGATGTCAGGGGGATCTGAGGAATGTTTGTGGCAATGGAGATGTTCTAGACGGGGTCAAGGTCCAGGTTATTATATTGACTATCTATTGTATGATGTTACTATTGGGGGAAACCAGGAAAAGGGGACAAGGGATCTCTCCGTTACTTAATACAGCTGCTTGTGGAATCTATAATTAGCTCACACTACAGAGTTTAATTAAAAATAAAAATCAACACTAATAAAAGAGAAATATGCAAATTGACCATAGCTCTGTGATACCCACCAGCCAATCAGGAGTAAGCATGCAAATTAACTCAACAAAGATGGCAGGTTAATTTGCATAAGCAGGCAGGAGCAGCCAGGCAGGGCAGGATGCCTGCTATGAAGGGGAGAGTGGGGGGTGGCACTCCGGGCTAATCAGAGAAGACTGAAGACTCTTGCCAGAGTGTAGATGGAAGGCTCTGACCAGAGCGAAGGCCTGGGTCCAAGGTGCCACAGGAAAACTGGTGCCAGCAGCCAGGGGAAGGAAGGCCTATTCAGGAATCTTCATACAATGGGCCTCTAGTAAAATATAAATATTCTAGCTTAGTAAACTGGCTGCCATATTGCAATCTGAGCTTAAGAAGCCATCACATAGCACTTTGATTCTTTATAACAACCAGAGAGGTGGATGAAATACCAACGTGATGGCTCACAACAGTGCAACACAGGGCAGTTTGCACACGTGGCCCCAGCCTCTGCGAACCTCCCCAGGTCCCTGGCTGAGGGCGGCCTCCAGCCAGCAGCACCCCTTCATGGTGCTCCCCGGCATGCCTGCCACAGGGGGTCTCCCTGCTCTCCAGAGCCACCGCCGAGGCCACAAGCAGGAACTCCCGGATGGCCAGGCGCCTCCTCAGGATACAGCCTCCCCCGACGTAAGGATCTGGGGAAGCTGGATGGCACCCTTCTTTACATAAATCAAATATCTAAACACGTCCCACATGCTCTGCCAGTAGAGGCGACTGTTTCTTGTATGTGAGCTGAGCTAATAGATTTGTTGAGGAGAAAATGTTTTATTCCAGAGGCACTGAATATAGAGAATTAATATATATATATATATATCTGTTAAGCCTTTTTCCTCCCCCAGATATAACACGGTCACATTAAACAGCCATCATAACCCTACTGTAATGATGCTGGATTGCCGGGAGAGTTTCCGTGACAGAGAAGGGGTTGCCTGGAGACCACTCTTTCAGGTGTAAACATTCATGCCACGCGATAAAGACATTTTAGAAAGAAAAAAAAAAAAAGTCAACATATAAAATTGATTTTTTTTCCCCTCTATATCTTGGTTAAAACAGAAAGTGTTTGGTAATACTCTAACACTAGGCATTTAAAATTGATGATCAAGAGGCGCCTGATCTTCTGAATGACAACTGAGAATTGTAATTGGAGAAATACTGTCGTCTATAAATAGGAACCTCCAAAGCATATTTAAACCACTCGAGCACCTGATTCTTCCGCCGCCTGCGCATCCACAGGGCGCCGAGCACAGGAAATTTCAGGCCGACCGCGGGATCTCCGAGAGAGAGTGCTCCGTTCAGTTGTCATGATCGCTGTCACCATCAATCCCTGAGATCTTACACTTCACCAACTGCACTTGACTCTGCGCTGCTGCCCTATGCTTAGGAGAAGATAAATCAGGAATCAATTATGCACACTAATTAAAAATGCTACCTTAGGAGGCATTTTAATAACTCAGAGCCACGAGTGAGTTTTTCCCCGAACTGCTTGCTTTAAAACATATTTGACAACACATTAGCCGGGATGCGCTGAGCATTTGCAAACACTTCATAGTCTACATAAACTATCAAATTGCCCCCCTCCCCCCACATAGTGGTAGCATAATTCTGCAACTAGCTTAAGCCACGTGGAAAATAAAATTATATGCTAATTTGTTCTATATTAATTTATCATACAAGGTCTGACCAAACATGGCAAAATGAATTCTGGGAAAAATTAATGAAGTAGATTGGTATGTACCGTAGCAAAGTAAACTGTTTATCTTAAGAGGTACAAATTCAAGGAATATTTTACAAACGGGCATTTTCTTCTTTTCAGAAAATAAAGGTTTTCACCAACCCGAGGCAATGACTTGCACGATTTGAAAACACTTTATACAGTTGTACCTTAAAGGAGAGCAACAAAGGCAGGTTCTTTGTCTCTGAGGGGAGGAAGGAAATGGAGAATGGCATAGTACCCAAGGCGGTTCTACACACGTGCTTTAACACGAACACGCAGGTTGGAACTAAATGACGGAGTGAAGACGTACTGACTTTGGCACAGGTATTATTTTACTCCAAAATGAGCCAGACAACAATATAGATGCTTTCCTTGGCATATATTTACCTGGTGAAACTATGCTTTCTTTAAAATACTTTAAAAT